TAGGTCTTTTAAAACTGTTGTAATATCTAAAAAAACCGCTGCAGTAGCTTGAAAACCGTCGCAATAGCTCAATCAAAACCGCTGCAATAGCTTAAAAACCGTCGCAATAGCTCAATCAAAACCGTTGCAATGGCTTAAAAACCACTTACCTTTTAAAACCGTTGCGTTAGATGCAGGGGCAACGGTTCAAAAAACCGTCGCAATAGAGTTCAAAACCGTTACGGTAGAGCTAGGGCAACGGCAGCATATGAGGCGGTTTGAGAACCGTTGCACTTGCTCAAGGGCGACGGTTCCATGGCTAGCGCAACGGTTTTGAACCGTTGCGTTAGAGCAAATGTGTGGTAGTGTTTTCATAGTTGAGGAACTATGAATCGAATGAGAGTCATATTTTGTATCATTCGGAGTTGACAAATGGAGTAGATTTATCTTATCCTCAACATCTTATTTCTATTGTTGACCAAAGTGAGAAGCTTCTGAAGAATAAAGTCATTCCTTTAGTTCTTATGCAATGGAATTTGTACTATCCTGGAGAAGCAACTTTGGAGTAAGAGGATTCGATAGTGGAGAAATTTCTATATTTGTTGGAGGTGCACATCCATCCTACTTAGAAATTTTGAGGGTGAACTTTATTTCAAGCTAGACGGAGATAAGGCCTAGGTGTTTTTCCACTAGATAATATTTAATTAAGAGGAAAATATATAATTATTTCTACTTGATATGATAAAATATTCTAAAGTACAACTTTATTAGAATGAGATTGATGAATTGGACTAAATATTAAAGGAGATTTGCATATATATGTAACCCTTAGGGTTACAAGAGTAAAGGAAATAATAAGAGAGATATTTTACAAATAGGTCCATTGCCTGTATATATCATTAAATTAGGGTTACTATTCTTTTTTTTGAGAACGTTGTTTTACAAAAGGTCCATATCCTATATATATCTTTAAATTAGGGTTGCTATTCTTTTTTTTTTTTTGAGAATGTAGCTTTTGGGAACATGAGTTCTACAGGACAAAATAGTCAGAGAGAGGATTTGTAGCTAATAAGAATAATCTTTATCTCAAGCGAGAGTTTCTCTAATTCATTCTCTCTAATTTGGGGATTTCCGGGGGCGGTCTGTATGGTGTATGATAGCGGGCGATTTTCGCTTTGCTATCGTGCGCCCCCACCGAGAAATTCTGAGAAAATTTGAGTTTTCTGATGGTGAGGAAGAAGAAAGGCAGTGGAAAGAAGATACTGGAGATAGGTTTGAGAGCTCCTAAGCTGAGTTCAACAGCTCCTGATGGCCTCTCTAATATTCTAAGCTACGAAGATGATGTAGATTCCATTGAAATGGGTTCTACTGGGCCAAAGGGGGCAAGAAAGTCTAGATCTATGACAGAGGTGCTGAATTCGGGGAATTTGGAGTTCGATTTTGTTCTGGATCGTCAGATTCTTCAAAATTCTGGTCGGCAAGGAGATCAGAGTTCTGGTGGTCTCGTTCTTGGTAAGAATCACTCTTCTGGATCTAATGGAAAATTTGAGTTTAATAAGTCAGCCGTTTCTAGTAGATCTATCAAATCTTGGGCAGATGAACTGGATTCAAGTAAAGATATACTAGATTCATCTTTAAATCAAGATCTTCGGTTGAATTTGAAGAATCCTGTGAGTCCTGTTCTGGAAAAAGGAAAAAATACTGTTCTATTGTCTGGAATGAATAGTTCCCCAATTTCTATAGAACATTCTGATGAAAATTTAACTGGAAACACTGTTCTATTGAGTGCTGGAAGAAATAGTTCTCCGATTGTTAAAGAACATCCTGTTGAAAATTTAACTAGTTCAAATGGTACTGGTGAAAAATTGGATAAAAGTTGGGCTAGTCTGTTTACAGATAACAGGAAGATAGAGTATGGGATGAATTTGAACTATATTCCAGTGGGTAACAAAGACACAATATCTTTTAATGATGATGAATGGAATGAGGATATATTAATATGGCAATCTTTACTAATAGGACAAGTTATGGGATTGAATGTTAAGTTCAAGGCTATGGAGAATTATGTGCAAAGAACATGGAGGAAATTTATGCCAGAAGTATGCCTTCTCAAGCCTGGACTTTTTCTGATCAAATTCAAAAATACTGAGGATATGAATGAGATCTTATGTAAGGGCCCTTGGTTCTTTGGATCAAGACCTTTGTTATTGAAACAATGGACAAATGAAGAAGATATTGAGAGGATTAATGACAGTGTGTGTCCTATGTGGATTCAGCTTCCCTCTCTGAGACTCAATCTATGGAATGCTAAAGGTATTTCAAAAATTGCAAGTGCTATAGGTTGTCCAATAGCTACAGATAGACTGACTGCAAACAGGCAGAGGCTGGCTTATGCGAGGGTGTTAGTAGAGGTCAAATTGCCATCCCCCCTTCCAGACAAGATCAACATTCTAGATCCAAAAGGGAAGGAATACACTCAGAAGGTGATTTATGAATTCAAACCTAAATGGTATGAAGTATGTAAGCAGGTTGGTCATGATTTTAAAAACTGTAGAAGGCAGACTAAAACTCAAAGATGGGTTCTCAAGCAAGGCCAGAATCCAATATCTGGTGATATTAGGAAGGAAAAAGATATAATTGAGAATGATAAGCCTATGATATCAAATGTTAACCTGAATTTGGATATTACAAGACAAGAGAGCAGTGATAAGGAGGAGAATAGTAGGAAAATGGCTGTGCATGTTTCTGATACATGTGGAGATAATGGAAGTGGGATTGCTGTTACATCTGGTTCTGGGCTGAAAGCAAAGCATAATGATGTGCATGAGATAAAGGAGAAAAATACTGATGATTTTGGTGCTGATACTCAAGGAATTAAACCTTGGACTCAAGTTCAAAAAGGATTTAGGAGTAAAAATATCATTCCTGGAAATTCTTTTACATTTTTGGATATTTTGGATATTGACCCTTCTAGGAGCATAGATGAATATATCCTTCTAGAATGTTAGAGGATTAAACAAATCCTCTAAGCAACATATGGTTAGAAATTTCATATCTCAATACCATCTTTCATATGTTGCTCTACTTGAAACAAAAATAAACGAAAATATGATTCAACAAGCAGCAAAAAAAATTGCTGGAAATTGGAATTGTGTCTCAAATGCTAGTAATAATAGAAAAGCAAGGATCATGATTATGTGGGATCCAAAAATTATTGGTATTCAAATTAGCTCCATATCAGACCAGAGTATCACATGCAAAATTGTATCAGTTGATGGAAGAACAGAATGTATGGTTACTTCAGTCTATGGGTTTAATCAAATGGAAGCTAGGAAGGAATTATGGAATGAATTGAAGACTATTCAGCAGTCAATGGGGAATGAACCATGGATCTTATGTGGTGACTTTAACACTGTAATAAAAGGTGAAGAAAAGCTTGGAGGTGCAGCTGTTACTGAGGCTGAAACCAAGGATTTCAGGGGGTTTATTGAAGACTGTCACCTAAATCATCTAAAAACAACTGGATGCTTTTACACATGGAATAATAAACAGGATCATGATACTAGAGTGTGGAGCAGGCTGGATAGGGCTCTGGTGAATGATGCATGGCTTAACATGTACAATGCTAGCCAGGTTGAATTCTTGCTTCCTTATTTTTCTGACCATTCTCCTGCCATGGTGTCTTTATTCCAGGATTGTTCAATTGGGAAAAAGCCTTTCAGGTTTTTTAAAATGTGGTCTAAGCATGAAAGCTACATTCCAACGGTCTCTGCTATCTGGCAAACAAAAGTACAGGGATACAGAATGTTCTCAGTCTGCAAGAAACTCAAAATGATGAGAGGTGCCCTTAAGGAATTAAACAAGAAACACTATTATAATATCAGTGAACAAGTTCTTAGAGCAAAAATTGCTCTTGTTGAGGCTCAAAGTAATCTGCAATTAGATCCTCTCAATTCAGATTATATTTTGAAGGAAAAGGAGTGTATTACAAGCTACAACAAACTCCTAGACTGTGAGCTTTTCTTTCTGCAGCAAAAAGCTAGGATTATTTGGAGTATGCAAGGAGATAGGTGCACTAATTTTTTCCACTCCAGAATCAAAGCAAACATGCATCATAATAGGGTATTGGTTCTGTACAACAACCTAGGACAAAGACTCACTGATCAAAAGGAGAATGCAAATGAAATGGTGGTTTTTTTCAAGAGTCTTTTAGGGACTGCTCCAGTTACTACTGCACCTGATCTACATATTATACAAGCTGGACCCTGTTTGAATGAGGTACAAGCTAACAATCTTTCAAGACCTGTTTCAAAAGAAGAGATAAAGAATACTGTTTTTTCAATGCATGAAAACAAGGCACCTGGGCCAGATGGTTATGGATTTGCTTTTTATAAATCTGCTTGGCCTGTGATTGGGGAGGAGGTAACACTTGCAATTCAAGAGTTTTTTAAGAATGGAAAATTACTGGGAATGGTTAACTCAACTGCCATTACTTTGGTGCCAAAGAAACACTGTCCAGTCACCCCAGCTGATTTTAGGCCCATATCCTGCTGCAATTGCATTTACAAGATCATTTCAAATATTCTAGCAAATAGGATTAAGCCAATCATGGGGAGCCTTGTGAATGAAGCACAGAGTGCTTTTGTCAAAGGTAGACAGATTACAAGTAATATTTCATTGGCTCATGAGCTAGCTAAAAGTTATAGTAGAAGAAACATTTCTCCTAGAGTCATGTTGAATATTGATATCAAGAAAGCATTTGATACAATAAGCTGGGACTTTGTTAAAATGATGCTTGAAGGGCTGAAATTTCCAAAGGAGATGACCAACTGGATTATGGCTTGCATCACTTCACCAAAATTCTCTATCTCACTTAATGGATCTCTTCATGGCTACTTTGAAGGAAAGAGGGGTCTAAGGCAGGTGATCCCCTATAACCTTATCTTTTCATACTTGGGATGAAATTCTTATCAAGGAGACTGGAGCTCTTAAAAAAAGACAGGTTGTTTAAGTATCACCCGATGTGTGGTAAACTCAAAATTTCTCATCTCATTTTTGCAGATGACTTGTTGCTCTTTGCCAAAGGTGATCTTTACTCCATACAAAAGCTATATCAATGTGTTAAGGACTTTAGTGACACAACTGGTCTTGAAGCTAATTTGGATAAATGCTCAATTTACTTTGGTGGGGTTGATGATGCTATTAAAACAGAGATCAAAGATTTCCTGGGGTTCTCAGAAGGGGCCATTCCATTCAGATATCTAGGGGTACCTCTCATTTGCAAGAGGCTCACTCATGTGGACTGTAACCCTTTGCTGGATAGTATTTCAAATCAATTTCAGAAGTGGTCAAGACATAGCAATTTGTCATATGCAGGGAAGATTCAGGTTATCAAAAGTGTGATTTTGGGTATTCAAAATTTCTGGACATCAAATTTTATACTGCCAGTAAAAGTAGTGAAGAAGATTGATGAAGTCTGCAGGCAATTCCTGTGGGAAAAATCTGAAAACTCTTCAAAAACTCCTTTGGTCTCATGGGATAAGGTATGCTGTGGGAGAAGTCAAGGTGGTCTAGGGGTTTATTCTGCAGCTATTTGGAATCTAGCTACTGCTATGAGGAGTATGTGGTACATTCATGTCAATAAGGAAATTTTATGGGTGAAATGGATCCATGGAAATTATTTAAAACAAAATGATGTATGGAATGTTAAAACAAAAAGAGGAGACTCTTGGATGTGGAAGCAGCTACTTAAATGTAGGGACAAGGCCTTACATGAAGTGGGAGGCATAGACAACCTGAAGAAACTACTTAATGATTGCTACAAAAATTTAAAAATCAAGCTGTCAGCAGTATACACTGCATTCTCCCCTGCCATCAAAGTTCCCTGGTTTAGTACAGTGTGGGGGAATTTGAACTACCCTAGGCACTCGTTTGTATTGTGGCTTGCGGTGCTGAACAGGTTACAAACTCAAGACAGATTATTGAGAAGGGGGATCATCAACTCAAATCAGTGTCACCTATGTGCGGGTTCTGAGAAAAGAGACCATTTATTCTTTGAATGTAATTTTTCCAGGGATGTGTGGCTAGGAATCATTAACTGGCTTAGAACTGATTGGCAAACATGTTATTGGAACTTACTAATGAATTGGTATATCACAAGACAGAGAGGAAAAGGATTCAAGACAAGAGTTAAGAGATTGGTGCTTGCGGCTGCTGTGTACAGAATTTGGGAGGAAAGGAACAGAAGGTGTTTTCAGCAGAAGTGTAGAAATCCTGATCAGTTGGTAATGATCATCAAAACTGATATCTTCACCATATGTCTGAACAGCAACATCACGGCTGAACAGGAAGAGTGGTTAGTATCTTTGTAAGTTTTGTATAGCTTCAAAGTTTGGTTTTTCTCTTTGTTGAGATAGTGATGTACATAACTTCCATATTTTTGGCAAATGAATAAAAGTTTTTCATTTACCAAAAAAAAAATTGGGGATTTCCCTTTTTGTTGTCTCTCTAATTGATATCATTTGGATCTATTTTAAACCCTAGAATTTATGCTAAAACACTTTTGAGTTCTTTTTCAATGGCTTCCCAGATATTTTGGATTAAATTTGATGTGATCCAAACAAAATGGTTAGAATTGAGAAAATTTGCAAGTTTCACGTAAAACCCTATTTCATTTTGTTTTTATGTTGTTTGATCTTAGAAACGTGGTAGAAATAAAGTAGAAATATGTGATTGTGATTTCTATCATAGTTTATAGGAGTCATGAGAAGATTCAAGGTGAAACGATGATGGAATGATGCGAATTAGATCAAAACAATAGTAGTAGCAACAAATCAAGTCATTTGGTGGGTGACATTAGACATCTGATTTGTGATTTAGACGTCTGGTGCTCTGATACCAAATATCTGGACTTAGCTTCAGACATCTGGATATGTGTGGGAGACATCTATTTATGGCAGTTAGAAACACTATTTTTGATTTAGTTTAAAGAGACATCTAGTTTTGTTTTTAGATGCCTGATTTTGGTTTTAGACGTCTAGTCCAATATTTTAGAAGTCTAATTTTACTCAGTTCCACAATTAACACCTTTATGGTATAATTAATGGTCTAAATAGACAAATTAACAATTTTAACTTTGGTTAAAAAGAGTATGATTAATTAATAATGTAGAACTACATTTTTGGAATGTTTTGATCACTTGGATAACTCAGCATGTGTTAAATAAATATATATAAGTTGCTAAAAGGTGAATGAATGGTTAAATGAATGTTTTGTGCTAGAGCTGATAAGTTAGGATGTTGTACCTAATCATTGTACATGTAGACAGGTGTAGAAAATTGTATCCTAGACTATAGAGTGTAGCCCAACATAATCAGTCTGAGACATGATTCGGCTAGGCAGCTGATCTTTGACTTAGACCATTCTAGTTAGTGCTAACTAGGTTGTGTGATGTCTTCATGGGACGTGGATTGTAGTGCATAAGATTACATGTACAAAACTAAATAGTTGCGGGATGGGGGATAAGTTATACGATGAATCACATCTTAAGATTAGTGGGTTGGCTCGAGGACTTCTATGTGAGTACCTTTTTTTATTTTTTATTTTTTATTTGGTCAATGAAGAATTTTTTTCATTTCCCAAAATTTAAAATTTGTGTACACCTCAATCATTCAGCATATACAAAGCTGAAAAAAAAACACAAGTAAACAAGCTACTCACAAAAGAAAGAGAAAACGCTCAGCTATTTTACAAGTATAGTAGCTTTTACAGTGTTAAAAGCCATGCTTTGTGCTCCGCTGAAATGAGGCTATTGAATGCGATTGTTAATGTATCAACTTTGATCTCCCTTGCTATCTGATCAGCACTCCTGGTCTCATGCTTGAAAATTCTGTTGTTTCTCTCCCTCCATAAGCTATATATTGTGGCCGAAAAAGCTAATCTCTTCATGTTCTGCTTGAAACCTTTCCCTCTTAACCTATAGCTGAACCAGTTCATCACCAAGTACCAGCTACTAGCCCTCCATTTAAAACATAGCCAGTCCATGGTATTATTCTAGACAGTATTTGAATAATTGCAATCAAAAAACAAATGATTCCTGGATTCAATAACAGACCCGTTGCATAAACAACAATGTCCATCTTGAATGATACCTCTCTTAAACAGACGGTCTCTTGTGAGCAGTCTATCAAGCACAACTAGCCATAGGAGGAATCTACGCTTTGGGTAATTGAAAATCCCCCATACTGTATTATACCACTGGACATAGCTAGCTGAAGGGGAAATAGCAGTATAGAGATCAAAGATTTTGACCTTTGATCCTTTGTAGCATGAGCTGACCTGTTTGATTAAGTTTTCAATCCCACCACATCTGATAATTGCTTTATCCCTAGTTTTAAGGATTTGTTTCCACATCCAAGAATCCCCTATTTTGATATTCACATTCCAGATTGTATCATTTTTAAGATATGTGCCGTGGATCCATTTTATCCATAACATCTCCTTGTTAATGTGAATGTGCCATATCATTCTTAAAGTTGTAGCTGTGTTCCATCTTATTGCTGAGAAAACACCCAATCCACCAAACTTCATCTCCATGCAGACTTTATCCCAAGCAACTAGTGAAGTTTTAAAATTCTGTTCAGTTTTCACCTATAAAAATTCTCTGCACATATCATCAATTCTCTGGAGCACTTTTATTGGTAAAGTGTAGTTAGAAGTCCAATAGACTTGAATACCCAAGATGACACTTTTAATGATGCGAAGCCTCCCTGCATATGACATAGAAGTCCAATAGACTTGAATACCCAAGATGACACTTTTAATGATGCGAAGCCTCCCTGCATATGACAGATTTTTATGATTCCTTCATGTCTGAAACTAGGTGGCAATTTTCTTGAAGAGAGGAGCACAGTCAATGAAAGATAACCTTTTACAGATCAAAGGAACCCCAAGATATCTAATAGGCAAGCTTCCTTCAGAGTAACCCAATTCTCTATGTATAACATTTTTAACAGATTCCTCAACACCCCCATAGAACACAGCACACTTAGATGCATTTGCTTCAAGACCTGATACTTTTCCGAAGTTTATGATACACTGGTGAAGCTTCTGGACTGAATAAAAGTCTCCTCTACTGAATAAGAGGAGGCCGTCAGCAAAAATGAGATGTGCAATATTGAGCTTGGCACATTTTGGGTGAAACTTGAACATTCTATCATGCTTAACCAGATTCAGGCTCCTGGTAAGATACTCCATACCTATGATAAAAAGATATGGGGAAAGAGGGTCTCCTTGCCTCAAACCTCTAGCTCCATTGAAGTACCCGTGAAGAGAACCATTAAGAGAGATAGAATACTTGGGAGTTGAAATGCATGACATAATCTAGTTAGAAAATTTTTTAGGGAACCCCAGGCCTAGAAGCATATTTTTCAGGAAATCCCAACTACTTGAGTCAAAAGCTTTCTTAATATCTATATTAATCATTTCTCTTGGAGATAAATGCTTCCTGCCATAATTCTTTGCAAGTTCATGAGCCAACAGTTTATTGTTTGAAATATTCCTACCTTTTACAAAGGCACTTTGAGCTTCACTAACAATAACACCCATAACTGATTGAAGTCTTGTAGCAAGTATTTTTGATATAAACTTGTATATGGAGTTGCAGCATGAAATAGGTCTAAATTCAGAGGGTTTTTGAGGGCATTGTACCTTTGGTATTAGGGTGATTGACGTTGAATTGACTGCTCCCAAAAGTTTCCCAGTTTTGAAAAATTCCTTAATTGCTAAAGTAACTTCATCTCCAACAATTTCCTAGGAAGATTTGTAGAATGCAGCACTATAGCCATCAGGTCCTGGTGCCTTATTGTCTGACATTGAGAAAACAGCCTTTCTAATCTCTTCTTTAGATACTGGGTGTGATAGGCAGCTAGCTTGTTCCTCTGAAATGCAAGGACCACTTTGAATGATGCCCAATAGATACTGGGTGTGATAGGCAGCTAGCTTGTTCCTCTGAAATGCAAGGACCACTTTGAATGATGCCCACATCAGGTGCATTAGTGAAGACTGCAATACCCATCAGATTCTTGAAAAAACAGATAAATTCATTAGTTCCCTATCTGTTATTTTATCTCCCATGTTGTTATAGAGGGCCATCACTCTGTTATGATGTCTATTCTTCTTAATAGCCGAGTGAAAGAAGTTTGTACATCTATCCCCTTGAAGACACGAAGCAATCCTGGATTTTTACTGAAGGAAAGATAACTCACATTCCAGTAATCTATTGTAAGATATGATTTGTTCTTTTTCTTTTCTAATAAACTCAGGATTAAGAGGATCTATTTGGAGCAACCTTTGGACATTTTCCAGATCACTTTTTGCTCTAAGAACTTGCTCACTTATATTATAAAATCCCCTCTTATTTAGATCTTTCAGAGCATTTCTGAGTAGCTTGAGTTTAGTGATTACCTTATACATAGTATGCTCTTCAATTGAAGATTGCCAGATAGATGAAACTGTAGGCATAAATCTCTCATGCTTGGTCCACATGTTAAAGAATTTGAAAGGCTTTTTTCCTTTGAAATTATCTTTCATATAGAGATACTAGAGCAGGAGAATGATCAGAGAATTAAGGAGGAAGAAATTCTACATGACTTGTATTGTAGTCATGAAGCCAGGAGTCATTTATTAGAGCCCTATCTAGTCTACTCCAAATCCTGGTAGTAGCATCTTATTTGTTGTTCCATGTGAAGAAACACCCAATTGTTTTTAGGTGAGAAAGATGACAATCTAAAATAAACTGGTTAAAATCTCTAGTATCTGTTTCAGTGAGATTGGTTCTTCCCAATTTTTCTTCCATGCTAGTCAAAGCATTAAAGTCACCACATAATAGCCAAGGTATTCCTCCAATAGACTGATGAATTTGAGATAACTCCATCCATAAATCTTTCCTTGCTTCTAGTTGATTATATCCATAGATTGAAGAGATGATACATTCTAATCTTCCATCAAAAGATTTAACAGCACAAGTAATATATTGTCCAGAGAAGCTGAGAATTTTGATGTCCAGAATACTTGAATCCCATATAAGTATAATCCTAGCTTTTTCAGATCTGTTGGCATTTGAGAACCATCTCCAGTTTTTTACCAATTTTTTAGCAATAGATTGTATGTTGCCTCCTTTTATTTTTGTTTCCAATAATGCAAGAAAAGATAGATGATAATTCATAAGGTACTGCTTTACCATGTGCTACTTTGGGGATTTATTTAATCCCCTGATGTTCCAAAATGAAATATTCATTAGTTTACACTAGAGCCCCCCTATCTGCTGTAAAGGGATCTATCCCAACCAAACACATAAGTGGTGAGAAGGAAT